TGGAGGAATGACGGCAGATGAATTAGCTTTCATTCACCTTTTTGTTGAAAACAACCTAAAACTTACAAAAAATAACTTGATAATACACATATATGTAAGACATCAAACCTAAAACTCAAACCTGTAAAAATATGTACAAACAAATATAATTAAAAACATATAACAAAATCCAGAGTAGAAAAAGTACTAATTGGGGTTTGCTGTAATTCTAAGTGACTGAAAGCAATCCTTTGAACGTCTCCAAATAACACAAGTGGAGGTGTACATCTCCACTTGTGTTATTTGGAGACCTAGGTGAGTTCAGTTAAGGTCTGTTCATTTTTAGACATCCTTTTAAAAATAACAGGATTTCCAGGGGATGTGGATCCCACCCTGAACTATACCCTTTATAGTTGGAATATTCCTGGAAGGTATCATCAGGTGAGGATTTTACTTACAATACTAAAGGCTAACTTTATTTTCATAGACAAAATGCTTATTTTTCATATAATTAAATTTTGTCTTAAAAAAACTCTTCATACAGTCAGCATCGTAAAAGTGAAAAATTCAAATTTACTATGCACAGTTCATTTTAACATGTCTCCATTGTGCTTCAAAAATGCTTTATTTAAAACAAACTACAACAAAATAACTATGGATAAAAAAGCAATATGGATATTTGCTACATTTTGGTATATATGGAAACAACAACAAAACAAATCTGTAGAAGATATATTAGAGGTATATAAGTCATGCAGAGAGATTTTTTTTTACAGTGCATACTGCAATAAAGTAAATGAGGTGTGGTGCTGAAATTATGGCTACTGACACTGCTACTTTTTCTCTGTCACTAGTTTATACAAATGAAGCTTATGTGCAAGTTCAATAACAAAGATCTGTATTCACTCATCCTGGGTCAAAGTCTATTCACCAAATAGCATAACTGAATTCTGTATTTTAACCATGATCAGTTTTTTCTCCTTAGCTCTCAGCGTAGTAAATAAGCACATATGCACAGTTCTACTTTATTTATCTCCCAGAGATATTTAGGGTTTTTTATGAATATGGAAATTGAAAAACACAGGCTGCAGGGCTGAAAGCTGTAAAAGCTTTTCTATTTAATTTTTGTGGCATAATAACAATGCATGTATTCTGGAAATGCTGTGTATTGCTGGTGATAATGAAGACCACCATTAGGGCTGTAGT